ACAAAACAGAGTATAAGGAGTATTCACTGGGCGTCATATTTGTGGGTGCTGTCTAGAGCGCATGGTCAGAACAAGCTCACATTAATAGGCTGCTAAGACCGGCGATCTTGAGGGTGCGAAATGCGCGTCACAAAAGAACTGTGGAAGCTCGCCATCAGCACGCACTCAGCATTCGCGCACACAGCTATGGCCGCCAGTGGATACTTCCTATAGTTACAAGCAGCCAGTGCTGCAAGCACGAAAGCACGGGGTCGAGACCACTGTGATCTCAACACCTCAGCTTTGAAAAGTTCGTCCGCAAAACGAACGCTCGCGCAAGAAAGGAACGTCTCAAAGCCAGCACCGCGGTCTAGCTCGGGGCTCGGGGCTCGGGCTTCTAGGTTTGGCTTTATTCTCACTGGTCTCACTCACAAGCTTCAAAGTCGAAACAGAGGAGTGCAACTTCCTATACCGCCCATGGAACGCAAATTGGAAAACCCTGGGAGGCCGCAGCGCCATTTGAATCCCCTGGTATCTGGAGGCTGTACTAAAATCAACATGGCGGCACAGCGAAACCAAAACCGAAACTGCACGGCAGCGCCGTTGTGTTTGGATGGATGGGCGGTAGCTTACGCCACCTAGAGTTAAAAGTATATATATTGTTTGTTTTTTTTGCCTGATTTGCGCGTTGCTTTGCTAGGCTTCTGCTGCTTTGCGGCTGGTTTTCGCATTTCAATGCTGGTTAATGTGTGTTGAAACGCACACAAGCCAGCACTGAAAAGCGAGACCAGCAGCAAAGCAGCAGAAACCTAGCAAAGCAACGAAAGTGACACATACACAAAAAATATGCAATGCTTGTCCTTTTGCGTTCATTTTTATTCAACAGACAGTAGAAAATACAGACGAAATTTCTCACTGTTTTGCACACGAGAAACAAAGAAATGAACAACAAAACAGGATAAAACGTTAAGGTTACGTGCGACGAAGGTGATGATATGCGTCCTTGCAAATTTGATTATATAAGTACGCATATAAGTAAAGACCGACGACGGTGGCTTAATTGCAACTAAAGGAAACTAAGCAATGAGTACCAAGAAAAACAGCTCAGCTCTTTGGTATTGAGTCTTCATCGGGAACCTGCCCATTCGTTTTTAATAGTGTCACTTAAATTTAGGAGTGAGTCACTGCTAAACGAAACGGGAAACCAGAGCGGATCGCTCTATCGCTCATCCTCAGTTAATCGAAAAATATTTAGGCTCATATTTTCACTCCTCGCGAACAGACGCGTGAATCGCTGACAACAGTGCCAAATAAACAGCTCACAGCAAAAAGTTTGCCATCTTTTAAAGTGAGCATATGTGCTCGATCTTGATATGAAAAAGTCTACACGGAAGTCTCCAGTAATTCGACAATGACATATTTCTCGCGGCGAGTGAAGAGCAATCCTGAACAATGATAGGATTTGGTTTTGTGATTGGAAACCATCGTAGCTATTGCCAAAATCAAACAATTAATACTCACTACCACTGCGACAGTTAGGTTTTGTTGCAAACATCTAATCAGAAACTTAAGCAAGAGAAGACCAAAGAGCGTACCGCACGTCCATTCGAACTCGAAACCTTTCGGTAGTCATCGTTTCCCCACTTGGCACATCAGGTGGTGTGTTGATGACGAAAATCCATGCTTGACCACATTACACCAACAAGTTCCCACGAAAAAGAAAAGACAGCCGCGCGCGCACGAACGCGGGACGAATCTCGCGCCGCGACACACTCCCAGAAGCGAAACAACTCGCCGGCTCGCGTCCGCGATCCAAACCAACGCTTCTTTTTGCGCCTGTAGGTCGTGCGGCTGCGGATGTGACGCATTTTCGTGACGTCGCGCCGCTTCTTCGCTCCTTCCGGGCGCGCATAAAAAAGTGGGTTGATTTCAACTTCTTCTCAACGCGCACAAAAACGCGCGGTGACGTAGTAGGACGCTCCCGTGTCCCGGCCAATCGGTGGAGGGCAAGCTAGTTCCGGCTCCGCGTTTCTCGCCGTCTGGCTGCCCCCTCCTCCCCCCTTTTATTCTCTTCCAACATGACAACGCAATCTCTCTCTCTCTCTCTCTTTCTCTCGCCGTCTGGCCGGCTGCGTATTTTGAAATGCTACCCAATACAGGGGGGCGGAGCCAAGAAAAAAAAAAAAAAAAAACAGAACAAAAGCATGTCGATTTCTATTGGTCCACGTGACTATGACGTCATTGGCTGTTCCTTTTGGCGGCAGCAGCCCCTTTTGTTTTTTGTTTCTGTTTTAATTACGCAGTCGCTGTAATAGGCACTTACACGGGGTGCAATAATGGTAAAATAGCTCGCAATTCTTTTAATTAGGAACAAAAGTTGTTGCGCTAGCGTTAAATAACGTCCAAAGATGCGATTGCACGACTGAGACGACGTGGACGGACGTGTTTACGCTGTTGTGCGCGCGAGTTTTCGTTCGGATCTCGCACGCTTCCGCAGGTTTGTGGTTTCTAGACTCTAGTTCGTGTCATTGTGTTTTTTATCGTCTCGAGCATCTCCGCGCTATGAAACACGCCGTACTAAAGAATGTCATTGTAAGTTGGATGGAGGCGATGCTGTTTGTAGGGTGCGGCCGTAAAAACTTTCACATTTGGCACGCCTAGCAAAAATCGAATTTCAAACATACATACCTGAAATTAGGCACACGAACGTCGTTTATTCCAAAGTGTTTTGCCTATTTTTTTCAGACGTCAACTCTGGAGTAGCGAATTATTATAAAGATAACGAAAATGGCAGACGTGCCCGTTCGCCGTCTGCTATCTGGTTTGCGACGCCGCTCCCAGGTGGCGCACTGAACGCAAAAACGTGGGAAACCCGCTCGAAAGGCTGGTGTCGGGCGAGATAATCGCGATGAAAAGTGATTTGAACCAAATATATGAAAGATTGTTGAAATTACCTGTTTCAAGTCAAGTTCTGACATATCGTCATGGAAGCAAGAAGACACCATGATGCGACGAGATCATTTATTTACAGCTGCTCGCAGGGCCGTAACCAGGGGGGGGGGGGGGGGGGGATAGGGGGTTCTGACCCCCCCCCCCCCCCCCCCGAAATTTTTTTCTGGGTACGGCCCTGGCTGCTCGTCTTGTTGACAATTGCGGGTCACTCTCGAAGACAGCAAGCACCGCTTCAATGACCTCCTCATTTTTCAGTAGGCTCTCACGTTCACTGACTGGATTCTTCTTTTTAAAGTCTTCTCCACTCACAAAACGATCCGCCCAACTCAAAACAGTCGGGCGTGAAGGCGGGCGTTTATGAAATGCAGTGCGAAATTTTCGTTGTGCTGTGGCCACCGAGTTCCGCTCCACGTACCATTTGACTGCCTGGGCACACTCACTTGCCGAGTATTGCGGCATCGCAGGGCGGCGCGGAAAATATTTTGAGAATAACTGCAGAAGATAGTGCAACAAAAACAATAAATAGGAACAATCAAGATGCCTCAGCAGCGGCACTCTTGATTCCAAAGTTGAGCTTTCACCGGGAACGGACCCGTCAACAGATAAGCAGACGACAAAGGAAGACAAGAATGACGAAAGTAATCCCTGGAGAAGGGGAACAAGAGGGACAAAGGACAAACATAAATCTCCAAACACAGCTAGGTGACCCCTGGTTAGCTCAGTTGGTAGAGCGCTCCACTTGTAATGGAGAGGTCCCGGGTTCGATACCCGGACCAGGCGGAGTTTTTTGGTCGCTCACCAGTCACCTAGCTGTGTTTGGAGATTTATGTTTGTCCTTTGTCCCTCTTGTTCCCCTTCTCCAGGGATTACTTTCGTCATTCTTGTCCAGCTCGCTTGCACCTTTGCATTTAATTGCATTATAATAAAAGGAAGACACACGTTCGTCTGCTTTAGAACATATTTTTATTAAACGAGGGCGTCCGCCAGTTTCTAATTTTGAAGTAAAAGGGCATAATCGTTGACATATTTCGGTAAACTCACTTTTTATCGCGATTATCTCGCCCGACACCAGCCTTTTGTGCGGCGTTTCCCGCTTTTTTGCGTTCAGTGCGCCACCTGGGAGCGGCGTCGCGAATGGAAATGCACGTCTGCCATTTTCGTTATCTTTATAATAATTCGCTACTCCAGAGTTGACGTCTGAAAAAAATAGGCAAAAAACTTTGGAATAAACGACGTTCGTGTGCCCAATTTCAGGTATGTACGTTTGAAATTCCTTTTTTGCTAGGCGTGCCAAATGTGAAAGTTTTTACGGCCGCACCCTGTATTGTCCGCCGAGCTAGGGAAGCCGTTAAGCCTAGCCGGAGGAGAGACGATAGACTCGTTTGCACTTACAACGTGAAATGTCGTGTTCGAAAAGTACAGTTTTTTTAGGCTAGTGCTCGGCCGCGAGATGAACACATCCGAGAAACTACCTACACTTGCAGCCAACTTCGCTTAACTCCGAGACATGTCCGAAGGGTTCCGCTCCACGGGAGACTGCAACGCCCAAGCGATCCTGTGCAACGTACAGGGTCGCTTGCGAAGGACCTATCCTCTGTTTCATACTTAGCGTGCAACGCTGTCAAAGCTACTGGCGCGAGCGCGTGGCTTCATCTATGGTTTTGTTTACGCGAGAACGCGTGCAAATGATTAACGAGATCAGGCCCTACGCTCGCGCCAGCAGCTTTGACAGCGTTGCACGCTAAGTATGAAACAGAGTATAAACACGATTATATGCGAAATATTAGATAGCCACAAAGCTGTTGCAGCTCTGGTAAAGTACCAGAAAATCGAACTTAAAAATTTGTTTCTGGAATAATACGGGGGTGACTGCATACCTGCTAAGGGGGCTCACAGGCATTTTTGTGCGGGCTACACGCCTTTCTGTGGCGCCTGCGCTTACGAGCGCAAATAAATACCAATACCTCGTCTGAATGTTTCAACCCACCTAGGCCCACACGGGCATGAAGCAGTCTCTCACCACGAACGGTGGCTCTTTCGTCATCGTATCAAGTGAAACAGGAGTTGGCTCGACCGTTGTAGGACTAAGGAAAGCATATTTAGAAAGCTGTAAAAATATTTACAAATGTAAAAATGAACTTGAGTCCTACTCAGTTTGTGTGGGCTTGATTTTCCGGTTCTCGTCACTGGTCTTGTCACTGTCCCGAAGCTCTGGCAAACCAGCTCTTCACCTGCTTAGTCGTCGAATCCAGATGCTCCAACAGTGGCACGTGGATTCAACCTTTTGGGCACCAACCAATCTTGAAATGGCCATGCCTCAGGTGCCTGTCAGAAGTGAAGATAGTTGGGAGGGTTTCTTCGAGTCACTCCCAAGAGTTGCTCCTACTGGTTGCCGGTTAATTATCATTCCAGCTTCTCGTCATCAGGTGCCCTGGGTCGCTGCCGAGAATTCCTGCAAGGGCCTCCGGTCACTGCAGAGTTTTCCGGCTGTCGCTGAAACAGTCATCTGGATGATCGCTGAGATTGACTTGCACAAGACACGCCAGACTCCGTTGTTCAACCCTTGCCACTAGCTGCTCGCTCCCGGTTGGTTCACCCTTCCTCTTAGAGGCTGGATCCCCTTCACCAGAATTTAGTACCGCTAAATTTCTCATGTGGCATGTTATGCTATCTGTACACAGTTTCCCAGTCACATTACTTTGTAGCTCTCAAATAATGATGTTCTGTGTGTGTGTTTAGACAGTTAGAATTTAGTCAGCCTCAGTGGGCATCTGATGTCTCAGCTATAGGTGAGAGATCACAATAAAAATAGTTTGCGACGCTTTTAATTAAGAACAAAAGTCATTGAGCTAGCATTAACTAATGCAATCGACTGCACACGCCACAGACCACTGGCACAGACTAAATGGACGTGTTAACGCTGCAGTGCGCGCAAATTTTCATTCACGTCTCCCACACTTCCAAAGTTTTGTGATTTCTTCGTGTCATTGTTTTTATAGTCTAAAGTATCTCCATGCAAGGAAACTTGTCGTAGTGAAGAATTCTAGTTGTGAATTTGATGAAGGTGATACTGTTGAACTGCCAAGCTGCGTACTCCTGCATACAGCATGACTCTCATTTGCTCTAATGACTTGTAATGTGGTGGTTGATAAAGCAGACTGAACCGAAACAGTTGCGCACAAACCTATTTATTTAGAACAGAGCATGAACTGCTAGTGGCACACGCCCAAGGAACTGCCCACGATAGCAGCAGACTTCGCCCAACTTCAAGATATGTCAGAGGGGTCTTCCGCACCACAGAAGACTGCAATGTTGAATTTTACGGTCGGGAGTTTCGCAGAGTTGCGTAGGATTGTTTGTGAAATATTTATACATGCTTATATGGGATATTCCCTCTTGGACTGACCTCTAACCAGCTGCCAATCTCGTGTCTTATTTGATTAACTTGTCTAGTGTTATTGACAAATGTTAACGTGCTAATAACATAATGTATAACAAGAAGGCAAGCACTTATAAGACAAAGACAGGTCAAAAACATGTTTTCAGATGTCCTGTCATTGTTGCTTTTCTTTTATTTCTGTATCTAGTATTCTCGAAAAGAGTTGGGCACACCTCCATCTTTATTATAAAATGGTGCCGCTGTAGGAACAACTACCAAAGCTGTTGCAGTTCTTGTGAGATACTTAAAATCTGTAGTTTCCTCCTGGCTGGTCCTTTTTTTTTTCCAATTTAGCTCATTAATCTATGTTGACTGCATGCATATTGAAACAATAATAATAGTCTTTATTAATCAAAATCAACAGTACAAAATGTCAGGTCTGCCGAAGCCGGTTAGGGCTTGTGTGGCGCGACCTGGCAGTGGAAGCACATTCTTCACAATAAAAGAAATTAACACAGAAACTAGCGACTAGTACTCAAAATTTAGAATGCTTATTTCTATTATTACACAGTCTCTTGACATTCTTTTTATGGTGATGTTTCGATTTGGAAAGAAATATAGAGTCTGGTAACACGTTGCATATTTTGGGAACATAAAATGCTCTAATGCTTTCCCCATAGCGACTATATATACGTGGGACTTCAAAGTGAGTATTGTACCTTGTTATGCGTGGTGCAGTTGTGTGACTTACAAAACCCCTGTTCCAAAACTAGTGCTGAACGACAGTTTTGTGAAAAAAGCGAATAAAAACAAGGTAACTGAAGTGGGGCGAAGATATTGTTACTTGAACATAGCGATAAATTGTAGGACACACTGTTCAACATCCCCTTCAAAATACCATCGAACCGATCGTGCTATTGCAAAAGTGAGTAATGCCAGATCTGAGCACACAATAGGCCAGAGAATGCATTATCAACTTCCTCACTGCAAACGGAAGAAACATTTTTATAAATTGTAAAGATGGTATGAAACACTTTGGAGACTCTTCTCAACAAAAGCCATATATGTATTCCATGATAAATCGAAATCAAAAAAGATACCAAGATACTTCACATATGCAAATTAAATAGGCAACCTTGCTTCCATATTTCAATATATCTAATCGTCCCGCAGGCATGGAGCAGCATTCTTAACTCAACATGCAGTGACATGGAGCATGCAGGCATGGATACTAAGTAGTACTACACGCATAACTGAATTCAAAATTTGCCTTTGAGTGAAAAAGGAATTAGCTGCACCATTGTCTAATTGTTGAGTGGGCACGGGAGCTTAGTCACAACCGTCACGCTGATACCACAATGTTTTCCTTGTTACAGCTTCCGCTTCTGTGCATCTTTCTCGGCTTCCCATCGCCGTCCACAACACCACGGATTGCTACAGTGTCATCTCGTCATCTGCTAGTCATCTACGGGTGCCGTTTCTACCGCCAGCGACATGGGCAAGCTATCAGCACCTCTGCACAATCCCAGGTCCTGGAGCAGATATGACGTCAACGGGCTACGCAGTGACGCCCCTTCTTCCTGTGTACAGAACCCCGGCGCTTACCGCCGGCTCGTCAGTGCGCACGGGAGCTTGGTCACGACCGTCACGGCTGATACCACAATGTTTTCCTTGTTACAGGTTTGTAAACGCTATTCTTTACATTCTAAGAGGTCTAACAACCTGTACCTTGTAGTGCTCCCGTGCCCAAGGGTGCTTTATTACATGGCGTGCGAGGGTGCCAGAGTTATTTTGTCTTTGTTAACGCAGTCTGGTGATGTTGAGTCTAACCCTGGCCTGAAGACTGTCCCGGACACTGTCCCGGAGTCTCAGTTGGATAAAATCTGGGCGGTACTAGTGAAAATTGAGGAGAATTCCAAGAGACTTAGGGAGGGTCAGATGTCAGAACTCTTCTTGATAAGCAAACCCAGTTGGAAAACTCCTTATCAACCATCAACACTAAGATTGCCGGAATTGAGAACGAGCTTCAGTCACTTTCTGAAACTAAGGCCGAAGTGTGTAGCATTTGCGGTGCTCTTGCCGATCAGGCAACAGTAAGAGCCTCGCTCCTCACTCGGAGTGACGACCTAGAAAATCGTTCCCGTCGTTGCAACTTGCTTTTCCAAGGTATTCCCGACACGCGCGGTGAGTCATCGTCATTGTCGGAATATAAAGTTCTTGAATTCACAGAAGAAAAGTTTGGCATATCTTTAGCAAGTTCTGATATCGAACGTGCTCATAGAATTGGCAACTTTCAAGAAAGAAAAATCCGAACAATTATAACTTGTTTTGCGTCATTTAAAACCAAAAGCGAAATACTACAGAGCAGTTTTCGGCTGAAGGGTAGCTTGTTTTCACTATCGGAAGACTTCTGCGAAAATACTCGTGCTGCACGCCATAACCTCGTCACTTGTGCTAAACGTCAATCTTTGCCTTTTAAACTTCGACTAAACAAACTTCACATTGGCCCTAAGACTTTAATATACAATGCCCAGTCAGATAGTGTAATAGAGCTTATGAGATAGGGGAACGTGAGGAGTGTTCTTACTGATGCGGCTAAATCACGGAGTGTCACAAGTGTTCTTTACGCAAACATACGTAGCATATTACCTAAGCGTGATGATTTGCCTTTAGTGATAAGTTCATGTGATGCTCATGTTTGTCTTGCTGTCAGAAATGTGGCTTAATCCTGACACTAATGATAATGAAATATTACCGGATCATCCTCATTTCAACATCTACCGGTCTGACAGAGCAAATCGACGGGGAGGAGGGGTTCTTATTGCTGTTAACAAAACTATTCCATGTCATATCGTGTCGATCCAAAGTGTCCTTGAGATAGTTTGGGTTTCCATAAAATGTTGCTAAGGCTCTATGTTGCTCGGTTTTTGCTACCGTCCACCCAACGCTTCACGTGACTTTTGTGATTGCCTCCGTGATGATTTGTCTTTTTTGGCAGCACATACCGCAGAATACCGTGCATCTGCCCATTCCACATTAAGCGTTGATAGCGAAATTTCTAAGGTACAAAAAAAAATGTGCACAGTACATTCATACGTAAAGTTGACGATCGGACAAGCTCCCATCCCCCATTTTTTCGCGATTATCTCTAAATTTCGAGTGGGCGCTTGCCCGGTATTTTACGTTAGTAAAACTACTTTTATGGTGATTTTAACCTTCCAGGTATTGAATGGAATACGCCGACGCCAACCAGCTCTGGCGAAACGAATGTAAGCCGAGATTTTATTGACTTGTGCCTTTCCTTTAATCTCTCCCTAGTAGTATCTTTTCCTACACGAGTCACAGACAGCAGTTCAAATGTGCTTGATTTAATCCTTACTACTGATCCTCATCTAGTTAAGTCATTGTCTCCTATAGATGGCATTAGTAACCACAAAGTGCTACACTGTTTTATTGATACTAAGCCACAGAGGTCGGTGTTTTTTCCTGAACAAATTTGTTTGTATCACAGGGGCAACTACAACATGATTAATCGCCAGCTCTCGGATTACTTTGTCTCTTTTAACGAGAACTTTTATAACTACAATGACTGTAGTTGCTGACTAACGCGCCCGATATTGCAACTACAACGACATATTAGTTCCAAAGCGAGCAGCGCTCACTCACTGGGGCACCGCCATGTTTCCCCGCATCCCTACCGAGCCAGTCACATGATCTCAAAATCCCTCTCCTAGGTACTGCGGCTAATTTTAGCCGCGGTTAGTGCTTCGAGCAAACGGGCCCTGGTGATGAAATATTGAGTAGTGATTGTACCAAAATACTTGACACTATTTTCCGATATTTTCACTGTATCTACACCCATCGTTCAGACCCCCCTCGTTCCAACAACAAATTTTTTCCCAATGGATCCTATTTTCATAGACTTTTGACGGTATAGTAAGCATTGTAGAATCCCTTAAGATGTCTTCTTCATGTGGTATAGGTGATATCAACACCAAACTTCTAAACAACACCAAAATCTCATCAGTGCTTTTTCTTACTTAAATTTTTCAGCAGTCTCTGGAGACTGGTATGGTACCCTCCGATTGGAAAATTGGAAAGGTCATTCCACTCCACAAATCTGGAAGTAAAATGTTTCCACTCAACTTTTTCGAATTGTTCCCCAAATCAGACAGATTTCTGTCGAAGATGTTTACTTTCAAGTCATTATCCATTGACTTTGGACCGGAGACAGCCCAGCTAGCGAAGCGGTTTGTTAACATCACCCGCAGCATCGCTACCTACAAGACGCATATTGACTTCACGAGGGCCTGCCAGGACTTGCACGTGATTCCCAAAAGCCTCCGTCTCAAGCGCCTCGTACACACCCAGGAGGGAAACAAGATCTTGGCACAGGCGGAGCACCGGTTGGTAAGCGCCAGGATTCACGAGTGCCACTCCATCCTAAGGAGAAAAGAACTGGACCTGTACTTCACGCGTCGGCAGCTCGAACATCGCATCCCCGGTGTGCTTCCGTCGTTGCAGTCGTTCGCTTCCAGCATCGCCTCCGCTACTAGAGAAAAACGACAGGCATCTCAAGAAGAGAAGCTTTCTAAGCTAAGGAAAAAAGACCCGGAAAGGGGAGGCGCTGACACCGCCAGTTTTGTCACGAACCTGTCTTCAAGACAACTCTCCCCCTGCGAGATTATAAGTCTTGGCAAAAGGCCACGGCTTCAACATGACCACGACCCGGCCCCCTCTACCAAAAATGATTGCCGCTGTGGAAGACGGCATTGCGCGTCTAGACCCTAGCGTCCGAGAAGGCGTACGACTTAAAGCGATAGGCATCCTTTCAAAACCTCCGCCGAGGCAACGCCACAATCTATCTTGCGATGAAACTGCTGCGCTTCGGAAGCTCCGCGAAGATACAGAGATTGTGCTACTGCCGGCAGATAAAGGGAAATCTACCGTCGTCCTGGAACGGGAGGAGTACGAACAGAAGGCACGGGATCTTCTGGAAAGTCCGGCCTATGAAAAGCTTAAGAAAGATCCAACGTCCCAAATTCAGCGGAACATGAACAAGATGTTGTCCGACATTTTCAAGCAATATCCAGAGTCGAAAGCCCTTTACTTGCATCTCATCTGCAGGAATGGCTCTGCGCCAAGCTTCTACGGACTACCCAAGACCCACAAACCTAACATCCCCTTGAGACCTATCGTGGACTTTACGACCTCCTCGCTCCGAGCGCTGTCAAATTACCTACACCGGACTATAGCTCCCCTTGTTGGAAATACGCCGACACATGTGCTGAACACCGGCCACTTCGTGGAACGTGCCTCGCAAGTGAGACTCAGCGATGATGACACGATTGTGTCTTTCGACGTTGTGTCGCTCTTTACCAGCGTGCCAGTTCCCTTAGCAGTTGCTGCAGCCAGAGAGGTTCTCGAGAAAGACGAAACATTGGGCTCAAGAACCAGCCTCAGTGTTGATGAGCTATGCCGCCTTCTCGAGTTCTGCCTTGGCAGTACGTACTTCAGCTTCAAGGGTGAGCCTTTCAAACAAGTCAGCGGAACGGCAATGGGCGCTTCTATTTCGGTCACGACGGCAAACCTCACCATGGAAGTGGTTGAACAGAAAGCGCTTAGCACTTTCGCCAACAGGCCAAAAGAGTTCATGCGCTATGTAGATGATTGCTTTTGCATCGTGAAGAAATCAGAGGTGAACCACTTCCTCGCACACCTGAATTCCATAGAACCGGCCATCCAGTTCACTGTAGAACACGAGAGAGATGGAGTCTTGCCGTTCCTCGATGCTCTGGTGAAAAGGCAAGGAAAAAATTGGGTTGTGTGTATGTTTATACAGCCTAGAACTTGGTCTGCCTCACAGGGGCGACGAGTCTCCCAGCTGTAGATGAGAAATTTAGCCAGTGCGGTACAACCGCTAGCCTGGGGTCTTTAACGTGCACCACGCAGTAGTGATACACGACCGCACGCCGGTACGATGCTCATCCAGATCGAAACGGGCAGGGGTGGGGCTCGAACCCAGGATCCCTGGGTTCTGCAGCGCGAGCTTTCGCTCCACGTGCTCCGAGCTGGTGTGCGCTAGACCACTCGGCCACCGATCCCCCCAAAGGCAAGGAGACAAGCTGGGGTTCACGGTCTACAAGAAGCCAACACACACCGGACGCTACCTTGATTATGACTCGAACCACCCAACGAGTCACAAGACGTCGGTGGTCTCTACTCTCTTGTCCAGAGCAACGACCATCTGCTCGTCGGAAAGAGACAGAAGAAAGGAGAATCAGACCATACTTGCTGACCTCCAAAAAAAACGGCTATTCAAGGAGTTTCGTCCAACGCGTCGCCCGTCGACAGTGCTGCACGCGCAATAACCATGGATCATCGGGTGACACACAGCCCCGCCCCATCGCGCGCATTAGCGTCCCCTATGTAAAAGAGACGAGCGAGACACTGGCGCGCGTGCTCCGAAAAGAAGGGATTCAAGTGGCGCACAAGCCAGTGTCAGCATTAGGACGGCTCATGCCAAGGCCGAAAGATCGCCTCCCAAAAGAGAAAGCACAGGGCGTGGTCTACAAGATACCGTGTGCAGAGTGCCCCGCCGCCTACATCGGTGAAACTAAATCTTTTCCCGAACGCATGCGCCAGCACCAGAACGATGTGCGCAACTTCGATCGCGAGCGTAGCGCCGTCGCGGAACATTGCGAGGTGTTTGATCATCGGATCGACTTCGGAAAAGCACACGTGATAGACACGGAGCCACATATTCGAAGACGCCTGTTCTTGGAGTCGTGGCACATCCAGAATACACCGGGGAACATTAACAGGTCCCTCGGGGCCTTACCATCTATTTACGTCCATGGCCTGCGTCACGTTCAGAAAACATCACCTCGGTAGACGAAGAAGGAGAGGTCGAAGCTCGCGCTGTCCCATTCCATTTTTAGTCACCCCTGAAGAAGGAGTCAAGTCGACCCCGAAACGTTGGGAACTGTTGTTTCTAAACTTTTGGTTTGAGTTTTCTTTTTTTCGAACTACAGACCAATCTCACTTACCTGCAAAATTCTTGAGCACATCATCTACAAGCATCTTATCAGTTTCCTGGATTCTTGTGATTACTTCAACCCTGCACAGCACGGCTTCCACAAGCAACTTTCATGTGATACCCAGCTGCTGTTTCTCACTAACGACCTTTTTCAAAATCTCGACTCGGCTTTCCTATTAAAGGAGCTGTGCAACGATATTCAATTGGAATGTTTTTCTCTCTACACGAGCTTACTGGCACACCTGGGACTCAAGGATACTCACACGCAACGCCACTGGCCAAGAAACTCCTTTGTTGCGGTGTAATTTCAAGGAGAAAAGCGATCATTTTCATTCAATCTCTCCTTTGCAAAATTTGATGACGTAACTCGGGGATCGCAGTACACCCAAGTGACGATATTTGAATGCAGTTCATAGATTGAACCCGAGCATTGCGTGGGCACTCGACTTGGGCTCGTGACAATTGCTAGCTCGAGAAGCATTCGGGTTGTGACCCGTGTCCAATCGCTGCAACGACGACAACAGCCGAGCCATAACAATGTCTGGAACTCAGCGCGTGTCCTGCGCTTTGCCAACCCCAGCGCGTGGCTATGATCAACACTGGCGGCATATAATCGGCTCCAGATCACGTGGCCGCTTGTTCTGGATGCGAGTTGAGGGGGTGAACGCTGCTCGTTTTTCTTAAATTTTTTTCTGGGACTTCTATTGCGTGGGGTGAAAAACGAACGCGTGTTTCATAGGTCATTAACGTTAGGGATTCGTTTTAAGCGGTATTTGTGCACAGTACAAAAATTGTTGCACAGCTCCTTTAATGCTGTCTTCCCTTATTTCGCCAAGGCTTGCGACAAGGTCCCTCACAATCGCCTTCTGTTCAAACTCTCTTCCTTAAAATTAGATCCTCTCGTTCTAAAGTGGATTGAGTCTTTTCTTAGCTACCGTCCTCAATTTGTTTTCGCAAACGACTCGCCTTCCTCCTTAGCTCCAGTCTCCTCCGGCGTCCCGCAAGGCTGTGCATTTGGCCCTTTACTCTTTCTAATCTATATTAATAATCTGCAACTTTAACTTCCTTCTTCAATTCGCCTTTTTGTAGAAGATTGCGTTATTTATAGACTAATAAAATCTCCCGACGACAACCTGCTACTCCAAAACGACATTAACAAAATTGCCGACTGGTGCCGTACTTGGCAAATGTCCCTAAATATTAATAAATGCATGCATGTTTCACGCGCTCGTCCTCCCCCCACGTAACAACATTAACACTAAATGACACCGTCCTCCAGGCCACTCCCAAATATAAATATCTTGGTGTTTATTTAACTAATAATTTATCCTGGAATAATAATGTTAATAAGATCATATCCTCAGCTAATCGCTTTTGCTGCTCGATTATTTTAGCCAATGAAAGAACATTTATAGGAAGATGACGAATGCCACAATGTTGCACTTTTGATGCTGTTTGATTGGTTCCCTTGGCTTGTAGCATCGGCTGTGGTTTTCTCGTCAATCACGCTGGCCGCTTGAAGCGTTGGCTTGTTAATTGCAGACATGATAAAAATTTCCAGACAATGTCGGTGATGTGTGCAAGGAAACTTCGCAAAATATTAGGATGGTAAAGAATGCGCCACGACAGAACCAGGGTCTTGTAGCCCTGATGAGATCACTTGATTATCATATCTGGCACACGCCTCTGTGCCTTGGCCTACACAGTACCGTTGCATTTGCGCTGCTCGCGTACACTTACAGCACCTTTCACCATAGTGCAAGCATTGAGCTTAACTGCTTTCAACCGGAGTGTTAGGAGCAGCGGCTGACGTGTGGAAGTGCCTGGGTTATTGCAATAGGGTCGCAAGTTATGCGCAGTACAGTGGTGCGATTGACCAGTAAATTTTTAGGACCTTTGGTAGCAGCCAAAAGTCCATCATGGAGCAGCAAAAAGTACTTTTGGAGTACAAGCCGCACTTCATTTTTGTTCATACCACTGTTAATATTTTGCTAAAGGGGTAGTGCAATGATTTTAGCGTTGAAAGAATTCGCAATTTGCCTTTTTTTATATTGTTTATCCAAGCACAAGTGACCAAAATTGTGTCACTTTGCCTTGCAAAACTGCTATTCCGGTGCGTAATTGCAAAGAAGAAAACAAAATATTTGCCTATCTGCAGCCGCTTGTGCTGGTTGACGGAACGGATGTGTGACATACTCTGGGGGATACGCGGAAGTCAACAAAACCTGCCCAAACCGGTGCTACACTTGCCGCCACCCCCGTCGCGAACCGTCTTTTTGTGTCGATCACTTGCTGCGACCTTTGACGATGCTAATCCTTTAAAAGTCTATAATTGCGGAGGAAGCAGCTGGGGTCTCTGAAATGAGAACCCAAGAGTATGTCACTCTAAAGGCGATGTGGATAGTTGAGAGGCATTTTGATCTTCGATTTGTTTCATCCTTTTACATGAAAACTAGCACTCGCAATAAAATACGGTTTTCTGTTCTTCGTTCCATGGGTGACACATTAATTTCTGTAGTTAATTGGCCAAAGTTTGAAAATCGTTGCACCGCCCCTTTAAGATTTCTGTGTTAGCCTATTCAACTAAAAAATGTGCATGCTTTGCCTTCACAGAACTAGCTGTTTAGTTGCACAGGGAACCACTTGGCATGGCAACAAGATCCTGATTGATGAAGGTATCAAATAAAATGTAAACAAAATAGTATATTTTACTAAAATAATGTTAGAATAATCTTGAACACACAAACTGATGTTTCATTCAGGTTCTAAAGGTTATTACAGCTTCTAGAACTTGAATGAAACATCAATTTCGTGTGCTCAAGATTATTTTTAAAGGGGCATTGACACCCTAAAGGTCGTTTTTTTTTTTTTTGTGTGTGTCTAAAACGATGCAAGTTGTAGTCATAAACATGCAAAAAAATACACCATCGCAAAAAGTTTTCCCACGCACACGCGCGGCTTTATATTTTTACCCCTTTTCTCTTCCACTTCTCACCTTCTCGCCGGTTTTGATTTCTGACGTCAAAAATCATGAAATTAAGAATCTTCATAGGTGACATTTCTATAACATTTAAAAATGGCTATGGTAATGCATGCCTTTTAACGCAATTCCTAACACACTACGGCCCTTCTTTTTGAAATACCAAAAAATCGGAATCCGGTATGATGTTGCCTCCTGGATTTGTATGCTCCCTCAAAAAACATGGAGGCGCTCGACACAGATAGCAGAGGATGATCGGTTAGTCGCGGAATCGGACGATGTGGTGTATCTGAGGTGCCTGACGACCTCTCAGATTTGGAAAAAAGGGAATCGTCAAACGGTCAAAGCAACTGGGTTTGGAGTCTGTTCGATTGTGATTCGACTGAGGCAGGCTTTCAGACGTCAAGCGTTGTCTGCTCGCAGCGATAGGCAGGCGGCACCGCGAGCACATTGGAAATCAAACCGGTTTTTCCTAATAAACCAGCGACCTTTCTCTCCCGCTCCTCACCTCCTTGTTCAGGTCGTGGTGGCAACGTTGTGGTTTGGAGTGGAGGCATGAAAGAAAGTCGACTTGCAGGACTCCGCAGTATTTGATGTCACCGCACTGGCGTGGATCGAGCGGAAACTTCAAATTCGGCATTTGAAAAGCGTTTTTTTTACTTCACAAATACCGAATTCCCAAGTTTCGAATTTTCAGGGTATGTCCGGGCATAACTTTCAATCGTTTCGGATTAAAAAAAAAAGTTTTTATGTGTCAGTGGGGCACTGACACATAAAAATCATATTTTTTTAGAAATCCTTATTTTAGATTACAAAAAATACTTTTTCATTAAATGATGAAAATTAGTAAATGTTTTATGTAGAACTTTATAATAACAGAGGTCTGCATGTGAACGATAGGTGTGCCTTCCTAAAGCAATCCAGCCAAAGTTGTTCAGGTTATCCCATGATGTAAGATAATATTCTTCAGGTGAGGACAGCGCGCTCCTCGCGCAGTCGAAATAAAGAGTGAAAAGCAAATAAAGTTTGCTTTTCACTCTCTTTCTCTTTCTCACTATGATTTCAAGCGGCGCCGGCAGATGGCTTGTCGACCCGTGGGCACGTACAAGACGGCTTGTGCCACCTCATGCTTCACACGTGCAGAGCTCCAGCGAGGTTGTCGCACTTGCAGAAAGACCACGGTGTACCGAGGTGTCATGGCAATGAGATAGTTTTTTTTCGCTCTCGCACAGTTTCACCGTTTGGCCGCCGGCGACACTGTTCCTTTGGCACCCTTTCTATTCATATTTGAAAAGGTAATAAGCAACACACTTCAATATCAGAGGAACCCTCAGTCGTTATCAAAGATGAACTTATCTAGTGATGCAATTACTTCTTTTTCTTATTTTTACCTAATGTGCTATCAGATGTTAATGTTTGTTCCCCAAGTGTCATTGGCTGGTCCAAACCAATATTTTGCCTGCTAAAGAATGAGCTCCATGAGGTCAAATGCTTTTTGCATCACAGAGTTCTGAAAAAAGCATGCGGGAAAAGCAGTGTCGCTGTCATCGCAGCATCCCAACTCCTGGCTGCCGAAGGTTCCATGGACCGTCAAGCTGGAGAGCGACCTGCTGCAGAACGGGCGTCTGCCTGTCCACCACCGCCAGGATCCCGGCCGGCAACATGACACTTCCATGACGTCATCATTTGGAAATCAAGGAACCACTTTTTTTGGAGACATGGTAAACATACTAGTCAAGGACGCTTTCTAGCCATCATGGTATCGCTATATATGAAAAAAAATTGAGGTAGCTTTCCCCTGCAAGTTTTCTTTCTCTAAAGCCTCAGGGCAATCAAGTTTGGTGTCACATGAGCTCAAAATGTTTGCAACACTTGGAAGGATCTTCTGCCTGCCTGCTAGTGGGGCTGTTTACGCATCTCTTTGAAGTTGTTGATTCATGCGCTTTTGGTCTGTCGTGGTCGAGATAAGATTGATTGAGCTGCATAGGTTTATTCTAGCGTAGCAATAAAGGCAGGTGTGAGTCGTGCAGTGTATGGTCGCGATTTGGTGGAGAGAGGGTCCGCGTGCGGAAGCGGCAGGCAAAGTCCAGGGTCACTCGGCGGCTGTGGCAATGATGATGACGGCGGTGGCGATGATGATGATATCCCAACACCTCCCCCACTTTGGAAGAACAACACTCACACTTCCCCAAAGCGGTCAGGTGGACGACTCATACGTCCGCTCCTTGTGGCGGTAGGTGCCACGGCCTGTTGCAGGTGTCCTCTTGTTCCCTGTGTAGTGCCGGTCATTGTCTGCACAACGTAGGAACGGAGTTGAGGCGCTGGCTCTAGAGTGTGGCCGCAAGATGCTGCTCCCGTCAGAATTCTGACCGCAGTTCCAGGTGGAAGGGTGTCAAGCTCACGTATTCTGCGGCGCCCGTCATAGTGTTGCCGCATCTTCTCCTTGCATAAGGCATTTCTGGAGCGAAAGTCAGTTGTGTCCCTGCGAGGTTGGAGAGAATCTGGTTTTACTGGCACGTTTGCATGCAGTCTTCGTCCCATGACCTGGAGCGTAACCTTCGATTCCCGGGGTCGCATGCTGGGCCAGCAGTGCCTTGTGTATGTCTGTCGATTGCCCAAGGAGTTGCTGAGCAGTTTGGACTGTCCTCTCGGCTTCCCCGTTGCTCTGTGGGTAGTATGGGCTTGACATTGATTGAGTCACTCCCCATTCCTTTAGAAACACTGCGAATTCGCGTGAGGCGAATTGCAGTCGGTTGTCTGTTCGGAGAATTTTCGGCGCCCCATACCACGCGAACATTGGGTCCAGGATGGCGGTGATGTCCCTGGTTGTCGTCTGCATCAGAGGTTCCAGCTCGAAGAACCTTGAATAGTAATCGACAGCAATCAAGTAGTTACTGCCTTCGTGGACGAAAAGGTCCGTGCCGATGAGTTCCCATGGGTAGTTTGGCAGTGGAGTCGTCAAAAACAGAAGTTGACCTGGTTTCCAGTGTCCTTGACAAACGGGGCACTTTCGGATGAGGCTGTTGATGCCCAATGCCTGGCCACCAGACTGATTCTCGTGCTCTGGCGCGGCATTTGGACACCTTGGTGACCTGTGTGAAGCTTCTCCAGGATTTTGAAGCGTAAGGCTTCTGGTATGACGAGCCGATTGCCCTTGAACAACAGTCAGTCTAGTACAGCTAGTCCGCCGGCGACTTCGTAGAATTGGCGGACTCCTTGGAAAAAGCGTCATTTTATCCGGCCATGTCCCAAGGATATACTCGATTACTCTCTTCGTTACCGGGTCGGTCTGCAGCTTGTTTTTGATGCAGTCTTGCATTTCTTGGGAGGCTGGAAGCTGTTCTAGCATGAGGAGCTCATACTCTCTGGTGTTGAGTTCCTTTGTACGAGAGACTGTGTCGAGCAACGGCTTGCGTGAGAGCACGTCGGCTCTGTACATCGCTTTTCCTGGAACGTGACCTATGGTGTAGTCATATTGGAACAGGCGCATTCGGAATCGCTGCAGTCGTGGGCTCAGCTTGTCGAGTCGCTTTGTTGTCATGAGGAAAACCAGTGGTTTGTCTTAAAGGGACACTGACACCCCCCAAAATTTTTTTTATTTTTTGCCAGGCGCTTCATTATGGTGTCGGAGGACTACCCAATTAATATTTTGCAACAGAGTAGCATATTTTTTTAATAAAGCCAAAAGACGCAACTGTTCGAAACCCGACGGAGGTCGGAGAAGTGGAGAGAAGAGAGTGAAGGGCGGAAGTCACGTGGCCACACCCAACCGTGCGTTTCTTTTTTCTCCTCTTCGGTAGCACACGACACGACATGCGGCGTGCGGGAACTGCTCGCCGTGCGATTCTTTTGCAGTTATGTTTGTTCCGCTCGTTGTTATGTACTCCAAGATGAGTTGTTTTGTACATTGAGGAGTTGGAGATGAGTAGTGAGTGCCCGTGGTGAATTTCCATGATCGGCTCTGAAAAGAATACACCCAAGATGTTGCGTGAAGAGCTTGCTCACATGTCCTGCATCCGAAAAAAAGTGGCATTGTGCGTCAGAGTTTCCGAAAGATCGACGGGATCGGGACCAATGGCTGGCTGCAATTCCTGTAGAACATATACGGGCACCTCGGAAAGCGGACGCTACTGACTTATATATAGTTTTGTTTAACCCGAGACTGGGGTATTTCGGAAAAGGGACGAGAAGAAAAGAGGCCACAAGGAGGCGACGTCTCATATATGCTCCTTGCATTTTGTGGAAAGTGATTACATTGAGTTCACAGGTGTCAAAACGGAAATCCCATACCATTTAATTCAGCGAAGTATCGTCCACAACATTTGTTTGCTATTTTTTTGTTTGCTATTTTTTTGTTTGCTTCTTCAGTGATGATTGTAAAAAAAAAAGAAAAAGATATGTAAACATCAGAAAATGTTCGAAAAAAAAAAATAGAGTTGCACGGGGGATCGAACCCAGACCTACCGCGTGTGAACCGGACGCCCTTCCCACTGAGCTACTGGGGCATCTCTTTAATGGTGGATCTCTTTCCTTAGTAATAATTTAGCCGGTAAACTGAGTTGGAATGTTTGCTGTTGATTTTTCTCTAGCAAAAGCACTCCCGGGTCGAAGTCAGGAAGCACCACGCTTTGGGGACATTCGCACCTAGTAAAGAAATCGTACGCGTGCATATTCAACTCGAAGTAGACACGTCGTGCTTGACGTTAGCGCGAGCGATGTCTTCAGCCACGAGAGGGGAGCGACGGCTCGGCGACGTCTTCGTGCAAATCGGCTTGGTGGCCGGGCGTGTCGTACGGGATGAGTACCAATTCTTTTGATCAGTCCCAAATTTCTTTTTTAACAGTAGACAGAATTCGCCGGTACTGCGAACGACAGTTCTGAAATAGTGGTCCCACGCCCGTCGTCCGCTGCCATCGCCGTCCCCGCGAGTCCCACGATACGCGAAACGACAAACGCACAGAATGCTTCCGGTTGTCTGTGGAACTTTTTTTTTTCAATCAATGTATTTGCAGCTTTTTAGAAGCCACAAAAAATGGGTTTCATATTTTTTTCTATTTTTAATATCGAGTGTGTGCCTCCAGTGACCCACGACTTTGACTAAATTTGGTGGTCGCATCGATACCTTAGAAAACGGTTTGTGACCGCGAAGAAGAGAGTGAGCGAGACTCGAACCGGCCAGTTCTTGATCGGCGGTTTTCGGGCGGAAAGAAACCAAATTTCGAGCCGCAAATTCTGTTCTGGGTAGTTGAGCTCTCTTATGTCACGTACAACTAAAAACCTCGGCGAGCATAAATACCCCGTCAGTGTCCCTTTAACTAGGTTTGCGTCGTGCTCAGCCAGTGTTTTCCCCCAGACGATTATATTGTCTTGCAGGCAAGCTTGCAGGCAAGACCAGGTACTTGTTGAGCTCGCTGTAGTCTACGCAAATGCGCAGTTCGCCATTTGCTTTTTCTGCGACGACCATCGAAGCGCACCACTCTGTGGCCTCGGAGACGCACTCCATAACTTGGAGCTTTAGCATCTTGGAAAGCTCATTCTTCACAGGTGGTAGGTACCCTGTGAAGAATGAGCTGGATAAGAGCCTACCTCACCAGCACTGAGATCACAAACAATAAATAGCTGGTGGATGTTCTTTAAAAGTTTTGTGAACCATACTTTGTTGAATAATAAGCGATGTGACGAAAATTGCCGAATGTTATAAAGCTCGGAGATATGCGCCATCTATCGTGTGGCAAACGAAGCAAGCGAAAGATCAGACTGCGCTTGCGCATAGCCGCCTGTCTGCTGAAAAACATGACGTCTGTGGTGATGATCGACGTGGTCAGCGTGGTGGAAGATCATCGTTCTGGGTAGAGCGCTGTCCTTGACTGAATTCTCGTCACGTGTCATGATGACCCAACACGACCTAGAAGGGAAGATCCATCTACTTGTGCGGCGATGTTGTGGCGGCACCCTCAAGACAGCAGAAACGCTCGTTCCATCGTCTTTGTTTACTTCGACTACAGTGGTGCTTTATTAGCATTGGTCTCCTTGAGCACCGCCCGGATTTTTTTGCGCATTCCATGCATTTGCTCAAGTTCAAGATATTACTTGTGCGTACCATATTTAAAAGCGTGTACGGATTTACATTTTGAGGCATTTTCATCACCCGAGAAAAGTCATTAGTATTAGAATTTCTCAACCCTCGCAACGTCTATGTGATAACTAGGGGTGTCGCGAACTTTCGTCGAACCAGATTTTCAGGTCGAACTTTCGGGGTTCGACTGTGTCGAACCGGTTCGACGAACCCCCGAACTTTTCACCAGATTCGACCGGTTCGACTTTGCGGACAGTGTGGCCAGACCTTGATAGATGCATGTCTAGGTTTGGAGAATTTATTTTTATGCAAATTGTTATTTTATTTTATGAACAGTTGGAATTAAAAGAAACCACTTCTAATCACTAAAGACGTTAATAACTTAATTTTGTTTGTACTGTATTAACTGAAATAACCAACCAGCGGTGCCCTTAATTCATCCTTTAGCCATTACCATCCAATCCGAAGCCAACTGGCCAGCCTGTCGCGCATGCGCACACGAGTCGAACCTCAATACAAGGTTCGTCGAAATTTCCATGAAAAGTTCGAAAAAGTCGAACCAGGTCGAACTCGAACCTCGGCCGGTTCGCGACACCCCTAGTGATAACGAAATCATATTTCTACGTTGCAATGATGTGATTGGCCTAAGCCGTTTTGGAGCACCTTTTGGAGCAGCCAAAACAGTGTTTCGGAGCAGCAAAAGTGGATTTTGGAGCAGATAATCTTAGAAAAAATAAATATATTTGTTTCAAGTTCTCGACAAACGAAGGACACTTTGCTCGCCGCAGTAAACATATTATATAGTCAAGTTAGTTGTTGAAAGACTTGAAAGTTAAAGTCTTTCAACATGTAACTGAAATGCCAATGACATGAAACATTTTGCAATGCTTCAGTAAAATGATACATATATATATGTGCCTGCTATAGGTGAATAAGAACCAAACTACATCTATTAAGATTTATTTTAAAATGACCATCTTAGTATTAAATATCACAGCATTACGCTGACTAGTTATATATTAAATAGAAGCAGTTTCTAACTGTCGATACACGCGATCACTGCAGTGCAATGCGAAATTGTCGCGCAAGCGGAGATAGCTGTTCGATCGAAACCATGCCACTCCGCTCCGTCGTCACCTTGTTCCCAAAATGGTACACAAAATGTAACTGTCCAGCATACAACCAAAATCAGCCCAGCCGCACGTGCTTGTCAGAGCGGCTGGCGAGGGACAAGCTAAACACACACAAAAAAAGAAACTGAGCACATTGATGTAAAGACATCACAAGTTAGGGTCAAAAAGTTTTCGGAGCACTTTGTGAAAGGACTGAAATCGAGACAAACAAGCGTGCTGTGCGAGTTCAGTGTAACAGACATTGCCTTATTTGCTTTAGCTCACTTCTCTTCATTAACTCTTTCGCGGCAGATTTTTCACGTACCGGGGTCCCCCTCGGAAAAAAGCTTACCGAGAGAAACCTAGGTAAACAGTACTTCGACACAGCAGTCTTTGATCTAGAGGGATTTTTGTGGTAGCGTATTAAACAAGAACAGGAATGTTGATGAACATTTGGGCAGTCCTTACGTTCCAGTTTAGAAAGCGCCATAGCTGCAGCGACGTGGCGACGTCAAGACGCGACCACGGCGACTGGCAGGCACGGACCAAATATAGTTTTCTCACGGCCGTTGCTTTCAGGAGAAAGGGCTTGAGCTCACAAATTAACTCCCGCCGCGCAAAAACGTGGTTTCGTTTCACAGCATGACGAGATGGCCAGTGCCCAGCACGCTAGTGTCGGGGCGTCCGCGCACAGTACTCAGTTTAGTTTCGGTTTTAAAAGGCGAGCAAAATTGGTTCTTTGGCGCAGGCTTGGCGCAGATTACCTATATTTTGAAAAAATGTAGCAGGTTTAGTTCCTTGGCGCAATTGACGCAGCATTCACATCACTGACATTGCTATATCTCTGCTCCGATTACACTGTCTTTTGCAATCATAGAAAAGGCGTGTGATGAGATTTGTACTATAAGTCGTGATTGTCCAAGACTGTGTACTGCAACTTTTTCATTTTTCATCCACTCTGCCCTGCCATGCTATACAATAAAGTTTTAGAATAATGCTTCTCTGCCGCAGTGCACATCCCGAGCATATCACACTTGCAATGCCACCAAGATACAATAATGATTTTTATTGCACACAAGAAACGTAACTTAAGAGAAGTTTCTGCTCCAGAGTAACATTTGTTTAAACATAAAATATGCAAGCAATCAACCTATTATGCCCACTTGCGTCGCCTCGCCAAGAGATGACTTGTATAGTGACCCTTGCCAAGAAATGTTTGTGCATCGCAAGCAAGTTGCCGGCGGTTGTTGCCCACCTCGCTGGGTCTTCCAGACCATTTATGACCTGCATCTCTTATGACGTGCACCTCCCTTATGGTGTATTCGCACGAGAGATCTTTATCCCCGGAGAAAGCCGAGACGTGATAGAGCTGAGAAGGAGGAGAAAGCGGTGAAAATCCAAGCGAGCATTCGCACGACGGAGTTGCATATATTTGGGTCGCCGGAGTCTTTCTTTTCGCAAACCTGTTGGCGACTTTCGGGGGCTCATTGAACAAAAAGCAGGGGAAAAAATTAACAAAATACACTCCACACTTCAAGCCCGCTGGCGACTTTTGGGGGCTCATCCAACAAAAAGGCAGGCAAAAAATAGCAAAGAAAAGGCACCCCACACTTTAAAGCTGTTCCTCATTACCCCTCCCTAAAAGCAGGGGGACAAAAGAGGGGGCATACCAACGGAACGCGGATATTCTGTAGGCCTGTCACAGATTCTCCTCGGGACCCCGCGAGTATGCCGCGAGCTCAAGGGATCAACGAACATTTGTGATGCGGAGCACGTGACCTTTAAACTCAACGACGTTTATCCTTCTCCTCAGGAAGAAACTCTGTCGTGCGAATACACCATTAGGAGCGCAATGTTGTCCTGTATGGAAAATCATACTTCCAAGAAACGTTTGCATTCCTCCAAGGAGAATTCATTACGCACAAAAAGTTGGCTAAAGCCAATTCAGGCAGTTAGAAAATTGTGGCTACCGGGACCGTGGTTGCTGCAGCTGCCAAGAGCATGGCCTCGGCGGCAGCACCAGTCGTGATCGTGGGAGCCACAATTTCCCAACTGCTTGCTTTAGCTACCTTCTCGTACATCACAAATCCTCCTTGGAAAAGTGCAAAAACTGCTCATGCATGCAAGTTCCAAAAATAAACACCTGCAAGACACAGTATTTGGTGCATGTGCAGCAACAACAATGCTATTCTAATACTCCCTATTGCACAGAGGTGTGGACCGACACGTGTTGCACCTGAAACATTACTTTGAGTCCCGAGGGTCCTTTGCAGGTCTGGAAAGATGCAGCCACTAACCTGCACCCGCAATGACTACCCGGCTGGCATACACCTGTTCCTATTCTTTTTGGCACACTCCTTCACAGAGGAGATGACCCCACCCTCTTGCAAAGGGTTGGTTTACTTTGTGAGCGCCTGTAAACTTTCATCATATTGTTCTTTAGCAGACCCGATATTTCTTCCTGTACATCAGTGTCTTGGCACCTCCCTCTCAGATGGAATGCCATGGAAGATCGGCATCTGGAGGAACGCCTGGCTCTATGCAACAAAGTGGAGTGCCTGCTGCTCTGCCCAACCGCGCCGGCACCCCTCACCACTTCCAGCTCACCGCTGACTGGGCGAACTCCACGACTCAAGCCAGCCAGCCTGTCACCGCCTGGCCTCTTGAAGTAGCAGAGGGCCCTTCCAGTGTTTTACCCTGTCCGGCCAGACCTCTTGAGGGACCACCCTCCTCAACATGGACATTTAAAGGACTGCTAAAAACCACAAAATCAATACTTTTTTTTTTCAAACACTTCACGAGGGCATAAGTGTTCCTACTATCCCAAGCCAAACTCCTCATTTTTTTTTATTTATGGTGAGGGCATAGTTTAGGAATTTAAAGATGTCTCAAATTGCATGTATGTCAAGTTATTAATAAATTCATGAAATATGTTATGATGATTGCTAACGCACTTCACTGCTGCTTTCGGAATATAGAAGTGTGAGTAACAAGGCATGCTGGGGCCTCCCCTCCCCCTCATACAGCATTCTGACATGGTCAAAAAACGCGTGACCAGCGCACTGCAAAGTAATTGTATGATTGGCCGGTTGGAAGGTGACACACCCATAGTTGATGAGGCAAAAAGAGAAACGACACTTCCTTTCTGAAGTATTGCAAGGCGACCAGGAGTGCAGAATTTTGCTATCAATGTTATTATTTTAAACAAATTTCAAGTCTGGGTTTTTAAAGAAAAATAAATAAAAACTGTCTACTTTGCAAATACACCATTCCCTAGCAGAGGTCGCATTTTAGTTCGCTCACCCTCACAGCCACACTCACCTAAGCCCCTCCCTCACCCTCATAGCTACACTCACCTTCAGCCCCTCACTGAACCTCACGCACTCACCGCCCTCACACACTCGTTCCCCTCACGCACTCGTGGCCCTCACGCCACTCAGGCCCGCTTCAGATGCCAGAATATCGTCCAGAAATTCGACGTCGCCACACAGGCCGCCTGCATTCAAACGCAGCAACCAATTTCTGCAATATGTGATCATTATCGTGAAATTTATTTTTCTTTCACTATTGGACACACAATTACGCACTATAAACATGTTTTTATGCATTTAAATCTCGCTGAGGATACTAATGCAGCTTTCTGAAACAGGTGATTTCATAAAACAATCAAATTCAAACCAGAACAAAGTCTTCTGCTGTTGTCATCGCCGGCACGAGGTATCACATGAAAATATCGCGTCCCCGATTGGATGCAGCCGCTTCAAATGTCTTCGAATTGCTCCGAGTTGCTCGCCAGTTTCGAACCGGACCCGATCTCAGCAATTCGTGTCAAACAAGGGAAAGCTAAGGAACAACCCGCCAGCAACACCAAAATTGCTGAGAAAGTTGCTCCATCGGAAGGGGGCCTCACACCACTCATGGCCCTCACACACTTACGGCCCTCACGCACTCATGGCCCTCGCGCCACTCACCACCCTCACGCACCTTTACACTCGTTAATTTTCCTGGTTGAGAAACTCACTCACCCTCACCTCACCTGTGAAGATGAGGGTGAGTGAGGGCCCTCATGTGTGAGGTTTGCCGAGGTATGTTCCCTAGCTCAAATTTCTGGGGATGATTTCAGGGCTAATTTCCGGTCATTTGCAACAATAAAAAAAAATTATGTTGGGGGAGCACACTTCCACTGCACGCAACCCGGATAACGCCACAGTTTGTCGCTGCTGGACAGTCTTTGAGGGGGCGATACCCATCAAAGTTATACTTCTTGGAAGTGACTGCATTGCGAAAGGCCCTACGTACTGCTGTGAGCAAGGGTTATTTCTCCCAATGCACTCGTACAATAAAGAGCAACCTTTGAAGAAAACTCGTCTGGTTGATTACTTGCAGAATGGCAGTAGTCCAATCCCGTGTGTCCATGTAAATGGCCTTCTTTAAATATTCCTGGACATTGATATTTTCTCTATGGCATAGCTGAAGATTCAGATAAACACAGAGTGGCAAATGAGCTTGCAATAATGCCTTGTGACATCTCATGTGGTGTCTATTCTGTATAGAGGAAACAAATGTTTATGAGTAGGACTAAAGCCCAGTTACTCACCAATGTGACTTCCCCGTGTACAAGATGGCTTATTCCCAGGGTTTTGTTTTCAGATTATTCCGAAAACACTAGCCAGTGTTTTTGGAATCACGATGCTAAAACTAAAAGCAAAAAGAAGCTATTTTACGAGTGAAGTTTGTCATAGCACATGGTTAGCGATCCTAAAAAATAGTAGCATGTGAGAAAAACATACAAAAATAAAAAGACCTTTTTTAATGGACTATTGGCAAAAGGGAGTTTTCCATTCTCATTAAGGTACCTTTTGACCGTGACAGAAGCCAGTGATCTCGTTTTCAGTTTGGACCATACCTTTTGTTCTAGGAGGAAGTATAAGGCAACTGAAGTTTTTATGCTTACCAACGACTCGGCAGCTGAAGTTTTTATGCTTACCAACGACTAAGCAGCTTAAGTTTTTATGCTTACCAACAACTATGTCCAGGAGTCTGGCTATTTCAAAGTAACGAGGTTTGTTGAAGCAATACTTGTTTGAAAGATTTGTGGCGGAACACAAAGCACTGCCAAACGCGCGTGCGCCAATGCTAAATGCAGCTACAGTAATACCTTTCTATACCGATAAATTTTATTAAACTTAAAGGTATGCTTCTTTTTTTTTCAGGCATCATTTTTATTAATAATAATTGGAAGCAATATAATTAAACGCCGAATTTTTCAGAATTGCGAATTTAACGAAAAATAAACCCCGAATTTCCCACGAAAAATAAACTGGTAACAGACCAATACCAATTATGAATGGGCTTGTAACCAGTTTTCACAGAGCCTAGCTAAGTGCAGCCGCGTACTATATTGCTTACGTATGTTTGACTCTTGGTGTATGTGGCTATTATTCAGAAGCGGCTGATTATGAAGCAAGAGCACACAGAGCGCACACCAAGTCACCTTAAGGTGGCTGCTTGAAGGGCAGAAAATTCATGGGAAAAGCAACGCTGAACAAATACCCTTTTGTACGGGACTGAGAAAGAATGTCTACATTTACATTAAATTCGCATGCACAAAGGTAGGTTCTTTTCTTATGGTTTACATTAATTTTGTTCGCTTCGGGGAAGTCGAGAGAAAAAAGGATAGGACAAAATAATGGAAGACTTACCAACCGTCACCCCACGTGACAAGAACAAGAGACAGTAACCACCATTTACCACAGCCTTGACAGTTATTCAACCAATGTAAACAATCTTGGTCCAAAACATAATCATGTGTTAAAAATCTGGTCCAAATATTGCCAAAACATTGATCAACTGAAGGGAATTATAATAACGAGACCAACCAGGGAAGCCACCACTGTCATTGAGATCAGTGGAAGCCACCAAGATATGGTGTACTAGAACTGGGCAGTGTGTCGTCCGCGCCGAGCAACGAGGTAGAGGGGCTTAGAGCGATAAACCGGGGTTCCGGTCTGCACTCGAAAGTGACCCCCATAAGGAGGCTGCCATTGTACGCAAATTTGACCACACGTCACATGACCAAACCAAATACGTGACGTCACGTGAAAGATGGCAGCGCCCATGCAGCGGCTGGCCCCAGCTGGGCCGGAGCTTGTCGGATGCTTTGTTGGTTGTCGTTCGTCTCGGCGAGTTGATTTCAGACGCGGAAGCCGTCATATGAGGCCGGTCGAAAACGAGTTCAGAGTTCAGCGTGGTGTTTGACGTAGGTATAACGTGAAAATACGGAGAAACGGTGTGCATTTCGCTGGTGACCGACCGGGATATTGCCACGGAAGAGACTATCTGACCTACGTTGCTCGGACCTCGGATTGATTCGGATACCGCTAGGATAAAATTTAAGGCGACGTTTCTGTGCTCTCGTTGACCATCGGAATCTTCGAGGTTTGCAGTGAAGCGTGTGCAATATATTTGGATACACAGTTTAGCGACGGAAATTGCGTGAGTCGTGCTTGGCGGTGTGCAATCGTGGTGCAGCTTCGATCAAATGACCGAGGGCTCACTTCGGTTCTACGGCGCACCGGAAGGCTGCCTTGAAGCTGGTAGTTCCCGTGCCGTGCTGAATGATGCTGTGCTGCTTACAAATTGTTCCGGCGTAGAAGTGCACTTTCACGGAGCACAGGTGTGCGGCGCACCGAAGAGCTGCCTTCAAGCTGGTAGTTCCTATGCCGTGCTTTAGGTGATGCTGTGCTGCTTCCGAAATTGTTCCGGCGTAGACGTGCACTTTCACGGAGCACAGGTGTTGCAGTTGGCATTGATCCCGCTGGTCTGCCGCACGTTTCGTCAACACAAACGTTTCATCCACACTCGTTACGCGAATTGCAAGCTGTCCGGACATTTCACCGAGCGTGTTACGTACCCAGCTCACGCCGCTTTGTGGCAACAGTCTGCAGTGGCTCATTACCAGAAAAGTGGTCCCACATCCATTTCAGTTCAGTTCGTCCACGGTAGTCGCCAAACCCCGAAGGAGAGGATTTATTCGAACAGAATGCCACTAAAGCAATGCAGCTTCTTCAGTGGTCAGGATAGATTCTCTTCTGCTAGTTTTGTTATACTGTCACGGATCCTTGTTCCAGTCCTATCTTCTATCAATATTCACTATTCTGGGACACTGCAGGTCATGCTCAGCTGTAATCGTGTGTTCAGGTGGAGGTGCTGGGCACTTTACCCGTAGCCCTTCACTCTGTGTGAACCCGGCGGCTCTTCAGCCGAGTTACCCGATAATGGGACACGGATGGCGGACTATTCTGCGTCTTATACCCCTGTCGAGCCGTAGGCAAAGTCCTGACCCGAGCCTGGCAGAACAACCGCAAGACGACCGAGTACCACAAGGAGTAACCTCGGAAATACACCACGAAGCACCTGAAGTCCGAGCCAGTTGCTGCTACCAGGAAAAACCACCGGAATTCGGTCTCTTGTCAGAAAATCCGAAGCTGACTAAGCCAACAATGACAAACCTGTAGCAGCAAACCGTGTCCCCTCCCACCATTGTTTGCATGCCCGTCGCAAATCACACTCCGACGCTTTTTCACGCAAGCTGTATGAAGACGTCAAGGACTGGATTGAACAATATGACAGTGTCGCCCGCCACATTGGGTGGACAGACAACCAGCTCCTGCAGAACCTATACTTCTCGTGGAAGCAACTGCCGGCGCTGGTCTGAGAACCATGGATCCTCCTTAACGTCATGGGAAGTTTGCAAGATCAAGCTGAAGCGCGCATCCACC